TGTGAGCATATATATGTACACTGTACTGTACAAGAGATAACAGAATGAATGGATAAGTTACGAATTTGTGGGGGGGGGGGGGGGGGGTCACCCCCAGGAAATAATGAAAAAGGGGAAAAAAAAAACATTCCCCTTAAAAATCAATCTGAACTTGCATAGCAGCATAGGAAGGGAGATTACGGAGTACTGGAGTTTTGTATGCGGTTTATCTCCTACCGTACCCCAGATATATGTACTACTGTACTTGGAGGTGTCGATCGGTCTTGTCTTCTTTCGTGCATTTGCTGGTGGCAAGGCTCGTTTGGATATTGATAGGGGTACACATACCTACGTGTCCATTCACACTGGAGTATGACTGCATAGGAGTATGGCGACATAGGATGTATTGTATTTTATATGCATGTATTATGTAGAAGTCAAGTCCGTACAGGGAGGTGATTTTGCAGTAACTGCTCCGTAGTTGTTAGTCATTATCCATGAACATGTTTCCCTACTAGCAGAAAAAGAAGAGGCGACAAAATTTATCAGCCCCAGCGTCGGGATTTTTATTATTAGCATTCGCGCGGCAGCATGAATCTTAAGGATTGACTTCCTGGATACAACTCAATAGCACAGACTGCTTAGCAATGAATAATGATACAGAGGGTTACAACTGCAGCACACCCACTAACGAAATCCACCGCTTGACGCCCGCTACCACTCGACGCCCGGCCTTCAGAACACGGGGGCGCGAGCAAAAAGAAGAGACAATAATAATAAATGGGGAGCAAGGAAGTATGTTGCACGTTGGTTGCTGGTGGCGGACACGTAATTTCAGAGTGACTAGCTGCAGGAGTGTAATCAATTAGTTGAATGATCAAACATCGACTAACTAACTATTCTGCAGCATCAAGGTGGGTAGCAGAAGTCGGTGAACTTTGATGTACTGTACAGCGGCCTCTGTATAAATAACTTGATAATACAGTGCTGTACGGAGTTATTCATTCTGACTAGAAAGTTCAGACGACTCCGTCACTGGTGCGGTTGTGCAATCTTGCCTTTACGATGTATCTGTATCCTGGTATTTATGTACAGATTACAGATTACAGTATTGTTGTATACCCAAGGGCTTGGTGGAGCTTGGCAGAAAAGGGGAACCAGGGGCAGACAACCTTCCAGCCAACCACAGGCGGGTATTGGCGATAGACTGAGCGACTGGAATCCTCACTAGTCCAGACCCGGCGTAGCGTTGATCCATGGATGTCCCTGAGCCAGTCCCGTGACTCTCGGCTCCCTCAACCCCAACGCGGCTAGGGTTTGACGGTTGCTTCTTGACTTCTTCCAAGATTCTTCTTCGACTTCCCGACAAACTCTCCTCCGCATTCAAAACTCACCACTGGAAGCTTGGACTGACTACGGGCGCGTGGGTCGGATTGCCTTCTCTCCCAATGGTTGTTGAGCCCTGATTTCCAGTTGCTCAGCCTGTTACTTCCTCTCCTCACTTCCTCTCCTCCCCCCCATATTCTTCTATCCGTGATCCTGTGGATCCGTGGGAGTGGGAACCGCGCATCATTCTTCTTTGGCAGCGGCCCGCCCAATTGCTTCCGGTAATCTTTTTGCCAGCCAACGCATTCAGCGATCCTTTTGAAAGGGTCACCGGCTACTTCCTTTGTTTGTTCACCCAACCAGGTCCGTTGGCTCCAGCTGCAATTAGGTATATCACTGGCGGAGCAGTTGTCCACCTCCATGCAGTTCTTTGGCCCTTGTCAACAAGTAAGACCTTGCTTTTGTCTCTCGTCCGCCTTTACCTCCATTTTCCTCCCCTATTAACATACATTCGTTACTTTTTTCCTTTTTTTCCTTTTTCCTTTGAGACCAATTGAGTTCGCTAGTTTCGGTCTACACTGCTGACACTGGTTCTATTCGGTTAGCTAACAATTACCAGGGTTTTTATGCTGTGTCATCAACGCTTGCTGTTCATCCCCTCTTCAAAGTACATCTACGCTGTGCCAGTGCCATGCATGCATCATTACCGCTTTCCTCGCCGCATTGACCTAGTAATTGCTTCAAGCATCTGACCTCTTTTTAATCTGTTTCCGTGCATCTAGACACGGAACAATACGACTACTTTCTACCTCTTGACCATCGCCAAATTGCCGTGGCGATTTGTTTTTTTTTTTTTTTTTTTTTTTTTTTTCGAGTTTAATTCTTCAAAGAACGCTTCACATTTCTTCCAGTCAGCAAGAACGAGGTGTCAGGAGTTGACAAAGAACCTAGGTTGGAGAAGGGGCTCAAAAACACCCACCAATCGCCGCCGTCTTGCTTTTCTCTGCACTGCATACGGATGACCGCATTAACATAACTTGGGAATTTGTTGGCATGGATTAACTGGACTCTCGTACCTGCAACTTCTGCCACTCCCACCCGCTCCTGCAAACGTCATGGCCTTTGAACATCCAAGACCGCAGAAACGAGCCATACCTGCATATCCCTCATCTTCTAGAGCTCCGCAAATGTACGACACGTACTCTGGCGAGTCTCCTCCGCGAACACCTCCACCCCAAAGCAACAAATACAAAACCATGCGAAAGGGAGATTGGATGCTGCAGCCCCCCATCCGCCAAACATTTCTGGACGATTTCCCCCCCGTTGATAACCATGGCAACCCGGACTCAGAAGAGGATGATCATGATACTCATGACTTATCCCTATCCCCCAAGCACGTTACGCGTTCGTCGGTAGTAGATAACATGCTTTTGTCCCTGGACCAGTTTTCGGTCAGTGACCCACATGGTAACTCCCGCCTGTTCGGTTCCAGCCTGGATCAGGAAACGCACCCCATCTATACACGGTACTCTTCTATGAGGACTAGTCGACCTCGAGGCGACACGTTCTCTTCTTCTATATCTTCAGATATTGAAGTACACTCGGAGGATAATGTTGGCCGTTACTCTAGCCAATCTACTCGTGGTCGCCGGAGTAACAGCAATTCTAACTACCATCCTGGTCTTCGGCGAATTGACAGTGTTCGTGGGGTTGGAGAGAGTATGAGTGCGCGTAACAAGACGTATGATGCTCAACGTGGATCGAACATTGCAGATCGACCGCCTACTCATCGAACATCCAGAGTCGGCATTAAGACCAGTAGTCGAAGCAGTGGCTCCTCCAGTGTGGACTTTAATCAAATGACGGCTGGTGGTCGTCTGGGACAGTACACGGAGCGACGGTCCGCCAGCTTTGACTATGGATCCAGCCTACCCCCTTCACAGCCACTGATGGACAATCGAGGTGGGTTTGAAGACTTCATTCATTACAACGGGTTTCATTACGATGACATCGACGCAGCTCCTACCCCTTGCATTCCTGTAGGCCCTCGACGCAATATCTCCCCTCCAATGCGCGAATTGGCCTACAATAGAACCGCTCCCAGCAGCTCCCGGGGCCCCGCCTTATCCCGTAAGCGCAGCAGCAAATCAGCTAGGAGCATGTACACGAAGAATGGACGTTCTGATACTCTCGGAACCGCAACTATCCGAGGGCGAGGAAACGAGTCGAGACACCATCGTGACCCTATCCCGGATTTTCCTCCCTCTATGCCGACCTATTCCCTTCACCAACCTGCTCCTAGCCCAACAGTTGCATTCCATAAATCTGCTTATGATTCTCCCCAGCCGGTCATCAACAATACTCCACCACCGCCCACACCAAAAGAACGACCGGGGTTTTTCCGGCGGGTTTTTGGTGGCGGTTCTTCAAAGTCTCAGCCCCTATCGCGGTCTGAAGTCGGCGCTTCATATAGCCAAGAAAATGAGACCCCTCGACAACAAAGAGAGCAGCATCACAGTGCTCCTAATTCCTCCAAAGGACAGAAGCAATCAATAAAGGAGTACTCATCTCCTGGAAACAACGTGTCAAGCCGCGAAAACACTCCTGTAATAACTAAAAAGCCATCATCCTTCTTCCGTCGCCGGAAGAAGTCCATTCCAGATCATGTCCCACCACCGCTGAAACTATCTCTTTGTAGTTCGAAGCCAGAACACTTTAAAGTTGATCATTTACGTGGCGATTCGGGCCCAGAACCTAGCCCAGTTAGCAGTCTCAGGAAGGTTATGGATCCTTACTTGACAAACACATCATCACATGAGGTTGACCACGACCCCGCGATGGACGATGCAGATAAGGAAGTTTCAGGCGGCGAACAGCCATCCCTCGCTGACTTTAAACATGACCCTGCGGAAGTAATGAGCAACGAGATGTCTACAATCCCAGAGAACAATTCCCGTACCCAAAAACCAAGAAAGCTAAACTCTCTTAATTTCAAATCCGGACTCAATCTAAACGTATCTTCTCATGACCGTGATGATTCTTTCCTGACCGAGAGGAGCAGTGTAAACGAGGGAGCGGATCCAGCATATTCCAGTGATCGAACCAGGCGCCCTATGACTAGTCCCAATACGCCAACCCATATGAAACTAATGCCAGTAGGACAATCGGCCGAATTTATCAGTGGCTCACATTCGTCGGAGAAAACAAGCGCCAACGGCTCGCAGGCATCACACGCAGTTTCACCAACGCACCAACAATTATCACAAATCATGCATGGGGCTACTGATGGATTGACCATTTCTACGGCTTCATTGTCTACTTCAGTATCGTACAATAAATCCGAACACGACTCGTCATATGTGCAATCTCATGTTCTAACTGGGGATAATCATGCACATCCTACGAGGCATCTGCAGGAGAAGGCCTGGCAGGAAGCTGATTCTCCTGTTGAACATTTATCTGATGGGCGTAACAAGTTGAATCTACCGCTGGAAGGGCCGATTACGTCTCCTCGGGCGTCGCTGTCCACTGTGTCCAACTATCACACGGCATCGAACACTCCGATAATTCCAGATGATGAGAATAGGACCAGAGATAGTAAGTTGCAGGCGTTACCTCTGATCCATACGGAAATAGAAGTGGAGAGGAACCCCACTGATACCAATAATGGCGACACGACCATTCTTGCCGTTAATGAGGAGCCTACTGCAGAGGACAGACAGCATGCCCAGAAGATATTCGATGAATTCGAGGATGAAACAGAAGGCAAAGAACCTAGAGCAGCTTGGCTTGGAAGCCCGGATCGGTCGGCCGTGAGAAAGGCATACATGGAACTTTTCGACTGGTCAAATATGAATATCTTAGCAGCATTAAGAGGACTATGCGGTCGACTTGCGCTGAAGGGTGAAACTCAGCAGGTCGATAGAATTCTTGATGCTTTCTCGTCACGATGGTGTGAATGTAATCCGGAACATGGCTTTAAGGCAACAGGTACGTTTATCGCTATTCCCATCAAAAAATCTAGCTTGTCATATGAATTTTGATTGTAACTAACGTCTCTTTTTTCGCAGATGTTGTTCATACAATATGCTACTCTCTTCTGTTGTTGAATACCGATCTTCACATGGCGGACATTGAGCAGAAAATGACACGCAGTCAATTTATTAAGAATACCATGCCCACCATCCAGCGGGTTGTTTTAGACGCCGCCCCGAACGCTTTCGAACGAACAAATCCTGGAAACGCTTCCAGTAAGGCACAGCCCCCAGGAGCCAACGTAATCTCTGGCGCGCTCATTGGGAAGTCTCCTACTCTTCCTCCTGTACGCCATGGAGGCCACGGTTCGGTAGATATGGATGTTCCCCACAGTACTCTATCAAAACCCACGGAGAGCACCCCGAGAACAAACTCTCTAAGTGTTGTTGGCACGAGCCAAAATTCTGATGTCCCTTCCAGCGACTCGGGTCCTTTAGTTTCCACGCCGTTCCGCGGCACACAAAAGGGCTGGGAATTTCAAATTGAATCCGTTCTCAGAGACTTCTATAACTCTATCCATAAGCAGAGACTGCCCCTCCGAGGTGCAACTGTAGAAGCTGGGGAACCTCATCATCCTTCGAACAACTTCTTAACGCTGACTGGCAATATGCTCCGTCGCACACCGAGCACGTTGAGCAAAAGTGGGTCCGACATTTGCCCGCGAGGCCGGCACATGGAGAATCGACTATCAACCGCTCGGTGGTCCTCAAAACCTAGGTCTCGTCCAAGATTGTATCCAAGTTCAAATATCGGCTCAAGCCGTACTAGTCTTGATGATCAGTCTTCTGTTTGGTCACCGTCGGCATCAAGTACGTGGAGCAAGCATTCCCTTGGGAAGACCTTGACTTCGATGTCGATGGATTCACTAGGTTCTGAGTTTCCACGAGGCGACTATCAGCAGTCCATTGGGTTTGCCAATGCCTTGAGCCATGCCATTATTCGCGAAGACTCGGCTAATGCAATGTCCGGCATGGAGGACTCAGAACGAGCGGCCGCTCTTTTAGAGGATGAAACATTGGAGCTTGCGGGTGCACCATGGGCAAAGGAGGGCAGTCTTAAGCACAAACATCATCTCGATTCGGTTGATAAACGCTCCAAGGATAGAAATTGGAATGAATCATTTGCCGTAATTCAGCGCGGTTGGATGCGATTGTTCTCATTTAACGCCTCGACCAAGTCCATGCGGTTGAAGCCGAAACAGCGACAGAATGGCGGCCTTGTCGTTGGTGGGGGTAATTGGACAGAAAACGCGGAAGAAACGTGGAAATTTCTTCTACGTCAGTCCATCGCCAGCGCCCTCCCGTCGCCGGGCTACTCGAAGTCCCGCCCCCATGTATGGGCACTAAGCCTGCCAACGGGCGCCGTCCACCTGTTCCAAGTAGGCACGCCGGAAATCGTGAAAGAGTTTGTCTCATCTGCCAACTATTGGAGCGCCAGGTTATCTAAGGAGCCGTTATTTGGCGGCATCAGTAACATCGAATATGGCTGGAGCCCTGCAGTCATTAATAGCGCTTTAGTTCATAATAGTGGCAACGGCGAAACAACTGCTACCGACTCCTCTTCCACCAGTGGCCCACAACAACAAACAGCACCGCCTCCACAAACCGCAAACTCCTCGGCTACCCGCCAAAGCTTCCAAAGCTCCTTCCGTGGCTCTCTAGATCACCAATCCAGCGTACGTCCCCGCCTCCCTGCCGACCGCATACATATCAGCGACTGGACTCCTCCGCAACAAAGCATGATGGCCTCCACGCTCTCGGAAAATGACCAACTTTCCACGCTTCGCAGATACGTCAAACACGTCGAGGAGGAGTTACAGCGACATAACGAACTACGCGGCGCGATGTCTCTAGCATTTACTCCCCGCCACCCCAATGCAAATAAAGCACTAGCGAATTGGGAGCGGAAGAGTTCATATCTCTTGAGAGAGATTGTAAAGTTTCGCACATATATTGATTGTTTGACGACGGCGCAGACGTTGAGGGAGAAGATCTGGGCCGTTTCTGCTGGGACGAGCGGGAATGGAGCCGGAACAAGTACGGAAACGCCGACGGCGTTGCACGGGTTAGTAGAGCTGAAGACATCGCCAATTGATAGACCGCGGGCTTCTAGCTTAAGTGTTTCTTGATGATATTTCCCTTGTGTGTGTTTTACTTTCTTCTTCCCTTTGCTTCTGTTTTTGTTGTTTTGTACACTCTATTTTTCATGATTGTGGTATTATATCTGAGATACCTGTCAAAATTTTTCTTTTCTTTTTGGGAGGTGGACAGCACTGCAAATTGAGCTGGTATTATGAAATTACTGACTGTCTATCACTACGACCTTGCTGTCAGCTTTCTCTCTTCTCTTTTTGTTTTGACTCTTATCTGATTTCTTCTGCATTTTTCTCACAAAGCAAGCAAGCACAGAAACGAAAATGTACAACTATTACTTTAAGTCTGGTTATTTAATTATGCTTCCCTTCTTTTCCGTCCCTCTCTTCTCTCATTTATTATTAAGTCCTGTTTTTGTTTTTGCCTCTTTGATTCTCCCATGAACTTTGCTACATTCTTACATCTTTTCTAATTAATCTGTTTACTTATTATTTCCTGGCTGGCAAACAACCCATCCTGAATTTCGTTTCATAGTTCCTTTTTGTATTTCCTCTCTGAATGTTTTTGTCTGGATTTCAGAAATCACTTTGCTTCTGCTACTTTGTAAATTGATCATTACTTACATATATATAAATCAGACGTTGGGGGTGACCCAGTCATATTGATATTATGTGCATCTTGAAATGTATCTAAGGTCCAGTCTTTGGACGGTGATTAATACAAATACATGTATATATACCAAGTGCAGGATGACAGATATTTGATATAAGTTAAAACCCTGTCAACTTGGTAATATAGCCGCAGTTCATTTATCTGAGAAGATTTTAAACGCAGCTTGAACGAAATTTCCTTTTTTTACCATCTCAGCGTGCGGGTTTGAGGATAGGCGAGTCCTTCCGAGAACTCTTCTTCTCTCTCTATCCCAGTCTCCTTTTTTAGCAAAAAAAAAATTATAATGTTTGGGCTAATCTCCCAAGTTCCTATCATCAGAACACAGATTGGAGATACGGAGCCTTTGCGAAATCAGACAGGCCAGCTTTTGTATACCAGAATGCTGGGTTGATACATTTGGATTGCCAATCAAAAGAACCTGTCGATGGAATAGAGAGAGGCAAGGCGGCTTCATCTTGCACCTCGTAATTGTATTAACATGGCTGCCCCTTGAATTGGCAGCGACGTAGATAGTTAGTATCTAACTATCGTCTCAATGTCAGTTCAGAGGAATATATATAGTTATCTGCCATCTGTTGTTGCAGGCTCGAAATAGATATTCGTGGTATTGAACCAGATATTGGAGATCTAAAAGTTAAATATTAGTTAGTTGGTTAACTAGATTGGAACGTTAAAATAAGCCATTTCCATTTCCATTTCCATTTCCATTGCTGTTGGGCTGTTGGGCTTGGTCGCTTGGTCCCCCCTCCCCTGAACCAAAAGTCAGTGAGCCGATGACGCCGGGGACACGGCCAGAGCCTCAGAGCAGCATTGTCAACAGTATCACCAACAACAACAACAACTCCCAGCAAACAACCCCCAGCAAACAACCCCCAGCAAACCCCACAGTTCCACCATCATGCTCTAAGCACCTGCGGCAACCAAACTAATTGGCTGGGCATATTACAATATCTGCAACATACGAACATAGCCTCAGAGACCCGCACTGGATTTACTGTTGACGGCATGACAACAAATCATCGCGAACCACATCTCTAACCAACGACCACAACATCAAGAGCAGCCATGGCAGCCTCACGTTCGGCTCCGGATTTGCATTCCCCTCCTGTTCTCCTGGGTACAAACCCAAGTCTCATGAATAAACCTCCCGCTGCACAGAAACAGAGGTCGTCCAGGGTTCCCGGTGGGTTTGATACAGACGACGAGCTCTCACCGATGAAAATGGAGTTTGGTGATGAGGTCGGGACGCGGGATGGGAAGCCAGAGCTGCGTGAACATCAAGAATACGAAGAACGATACCAAGCATGGGATGACAAGGAGAAGAATCAGCCGAACAGTCGGTTGTTGAGGGAGGATGATACAAACAACAATAGCGATAATCGTACTAAGAATGACAACGGTGAAAATGTCTATGACCCGTTTGTACTAAGTTCCAAGGATTCACCCCTGCAATTGTCACCGCGTCAACGCCCTCAGCAGGAGCCGATGTCTTTGCAGTCCCCTGTTCTAGCCATCGAGGATTATTCCTCCTCTTCGATCCTCCTTCCAAGTATTGACTTCAACGATTCCAAAAGCCTTTTGCTCCCCTCCGCCATCCCTCACTCCGCATATAATGACACCATGGACGACTCGACCAATACTAACGACCATAATGACGACCATGACCATGAGCACGAACACAAGCACGGGAATAACACGCAAGACCATGGGCAGGGGGATGAGAACGAGCAAGACCATATCCACGGAGACGAAAATGAAAATTCCAATGAAAACTTCAATGACCAGACACTACCCAATCACACAACCCTCGACGAGAAAGAAATGCGCCAGAAATTGCTAAACATGGAATCCAGTTTTCTCCCCGAACCCTCCACAATTGATGTCGCTGCTACACCCGGGCTACCTGCGCCGGATGATACATACTTGATCGGCGTGAACGATAGGAGCCTGTCACAGGTCGAGGAGGGCGATAGCCGAGCAACGCCCCCTTCCCCTACTACACCGCCTGGCGCATACAAGACCCCGGCCGCTCGCCGCGCTACAAGATTGGAGCCTTCCTTCTTCGAGGAGGAAGGGGATTCGCAGAAGGGAGAGGCCGACCACAATCGCGATCGCGATAACGATAATTATGACGACTCGGATCTGACTCCTTCTGCAAAAGGGAACGATACTACTAATATTTCGTCGTTGGAGACCATATCGTCCTCTCCAACCGCAGCTGCGGCGGCCAGAACAGTCTCAAGGGCTATTTCTACGGCTTTGCCGAATTCTAGTCTACGGAGCAATGCATCACAGCGCCGCCAATATGGCGCTCAACGCGATTCGCAACTATCAAGTACTGATGATGATAATGCAGATGCCACTCCCCGGCGCTCTACGCGGAACATTTCCCCAACTCGTGTCGCATCGCGGCACTTGCAAGATACTACGGGAGTAAGTGGTAGCGAGGGAGATGCGCCGCAAGATTCAAGCGCGTCTTCGGAGCGCAGGCGCAAGCGACCCAAGTTCTTGACGAGCCGTCAGTCTGTCCACCGGTTTTCAAATTCTTCCACTGCGACTGTCGGTACGGATACTGCGTCTAGCGAGGCTGCGATGGGTGTCGATTTTGCAATTCAGTCCGGCGGGGCAGCGCCTGCTAATAACATCGGCCAGCGGTCGCACAGCCATGGCAGGCAGAAGGAGATGGAGCTGTCGAGATCGATAAGTCTTGGAAGCATGGCATCTGGAGTATCGGGTATGAGTGACGATAACTTGATGGAACAGCGAAGAGGGTTTAGTGGCGTTTCGGATGTTAGTCTACATACGCTAGATGAAGAAGATTCAACATCCCAGGCTCGTCCAGGATCGTCCGGGGGAAAGTCCGCAGCGGATCCGATGACTCCCAAAGCTCAATCGCGTGATCAACCGCCTCCAGAAACAGCCGTAACAGAGCACATCAAGGATATCCAGATCCCGGCCACCCTCGCCCGTCAATTCCGAGAAAGTACACTTGGCATGTCCCCGGACAAGCGTGGAGGTGTCCCAACGCCTGCCTTTGGGCGTAGCGGTAAATCACTTACGCTCAAGGAACAGAGTAGCACTATAGATAGGTTATCGAAGGAAAATTTCGACCTCAAGATGCGCATTCACTTCCTCAATGAAGCGTTGAATAAGCGTTCTGAAGAGGGAGTGAAGGAAATGATTTCCGAGAACGTCGAGCTGAAGTCTGATAAAATCAAGCTCCAGAAGGATAATCAAGCGCTCCGGAGGTATATTCGCGATTTGGAGAAGCAGCTTCGTGATCGTAAAGCCGCTGGTAGTGATGGGGGCCAGGAAAAGTCTGAGAGAGAGGATGGGATAGAGGCTGAGGATGGAAATGGAGGTGTAGATGAAGAGGAGCTGACATATCTGCGAGAAAGGATTGAGACGTATGAGGTGGAGATTGAAAGATTAAGGTCGGAAAGTATTTCGCGGGAAAGTGAGAAGAGGCGCCTGGCTGAGATGGTAAAGTCGTTGGGTGATGGACGAGTGACTATCGGCTCTGATACGGGGGCAAGGGAGGAGAGGGTGAGTTACTTGCATTACATTGATTTCTGCCAATGGGAGAGAAAGTGTTTCCTACGACGGGCTTCTCGTTTGTGAGCTTACTGACATGTTCAATGCGTTTAGGATATGTGGAAGGACATGCTTGATGCAGAAACCGCAGCTAGAGAACAGGCTGAGGAGGAAAACAGAAAGCTTCGGGATGAGCTTCTGCGTATGAAGCCAGATGCGATGTCTGGTAGCCGATCTGGTGGTTCTCGTGTTGGCAAATTATCCGTCGTCTCTCGATCCAGCGCCTCTGAACGGGATATTGACCGGAGTGCTGGTCTTGGAACTACATCCAGCGCTACTCTCGTTGAACTGGAACTTCTTAAGCAAGAAAACGCTGAGCTTCGTCGCGAAGTCAGTGCGCAAACTTCCATGCTAACATCTAGAAATCGTGAAAAGGAGAGACTCTACCAGGAAATCGAAGACCTGAAATTGGGTCAGCGGAGGGGTGATGGTGGCCGGTCTGTTGCTGGCGATAGTATCTTTGAGCGGTCAGTCTCCCGCGCCCAGGATAGGTCTAATTCCCATGCCAGCGATGGGGTGAGATCCCGCGCCAGTGATGCAGAACGCGAAAGCCTGGAGATCAAGAATGGTGAACTCCGCGATCACGTATCGGCGCTTAAGCTTGAGAATCAAAGTCTTCGCACCCAACTTGACGAATGCATGAGTGACCTGGAGGCGTTGGACCGTGCGTACCAGGCTGATGTGGAACAGGCAGAAGAAGACTTGCAAACTATGCAACTGGAGCGAGATCACGCATTGCAGATTGCCGAGGAGCGGGAGGAAGCATTGCAGGATCTCAAAGCAGAGGCGCAGGAGGAACTGGATGCTATGGGTGATGAGCTGGATCAGAAGATTGACGAGTGTCAGCGCATGGAAGCTGAGTTGGCTAATCAACATGAAAATCTGAAAGCTTTGCAGGCGGAAATGCGGTCGGCAAGCGAGGGCATAATTAGGCTGGAAGAAGATGCACAGAGCAACTTACAAAAATACAAAGCTGTGCAACAAGAATTGGATGATGCGAATCGGGAACTGGAGCAGATGGAGAAAAGCCTTTTTGAAGCCAATAGCAAAGTGCAGCGGCTGACCGTTCAGCAGGAATCTAGCCAGAATGAGATTGCTTTCCTCCGTGAGGAGCAAGATGGCGATAAAATCAAGATCGGAGATTTGGAATCTGAACTGAAGACTTGCCAGATGAGTCTACTTAGTGAGAAGGATAGAACCAAGGAGCTCGATAGTCGCCTTGCGGAGGAGAGGCACCAGCGGGAAGTCGTTGGGAGTAAAGAGAAGCAGGAGGTGCAGCGCATTATGAATGAGCTGAACCGCGAGGCGACCACCGCCAAGGACGAGGTCCGTAAGTTGAAGAAGAACCTCTCCTCAAGGGAGATCGAGGCTACAACTTGGAAAGAACGCTTGATGGAATTGGAGAATAGCCTCCGTGAAGCCCTCGGGGACCTCAATGGCACACGCTCAAGCTTACTTGCTTCAATCACTAAGCTACAGCAGGAGTTGGATTCAACCGCCCTCGAGCTGGAGAGCACTCGCACTAAGCTCGATGAGAGGGAATCTCTCCTCCGTAACCGGGATGCCCTTCTCGAAAGCCATGGCTTGGAGACTCGCAAACTTGCCGATCTACTAGAAAGGGAGCGTCAAGCGCATCGGGCAGATAAACATTCATTCGAACAGGCACTTAAATCGCACCACCAAGCTTCGCGGACAATCTCACAAAATAACTCAAGGATCTCGGACTTGGAAGCCGCACGAAATCAGGACCGAAAGCGTTTCAGTACCCTCGAGCAGCAGTATAAGGACCAGCTAAGCGAGCGTAATGCAATGTTCCTGACTATTTGGAAACGACTTTCAGCCATGTGCGGACCTGACTGGGCCCACTCGAACAGTCTAATCAACGGGAATCTGCCTAGCCAAGAAGTTATTGGAAACATGCTTTTCTGGCCAGGCTTTAGCCGCAATCTGTTGCTGGCGCTCAAAACGGTTGAAACACATATTGGCGGGTTCAAGGCGCGGATCAAATCCGTGGAGCGGGACTTGACAAAGGAGTATCAGAATTTAGAACACAGTCTGAACATCCGCTTTAAGAAACTTGAACGGATGGAGGAATTGGTTCAAAATTTAAAATCCAGTCAACCACAACATCGTTCAACGCCCCCAAACTCTTGTAGCGCCGAAATCTCCAAACTCAGAGGTGAGAATAGGCTTCTGAAAGCGGAGTTGAATCTTCTCCAATCCCATTCGCGAGCTCGTGCGGCTAACGCTGCGGCCGCCGGAAGCGGAAACGCCCACAGCGCATCAGGACGGTCTGCATCAAATCTCGCTGCCAACACCTTATCTCGATACAGCTCCACAACAACAGTTGACAACGCTTCTACTGCCGGTGGTCAAACACACGCACATGCTCGACAGCCTAGTCGAAGCCCCAGCGCCCTCTCCCGCGTTTCCTCCAGCAACCCCCAACCATCCCAGTATTCCTCTTCCTCAACACTTACCAACAACCCCGTCGGTCCCGCCGGAACATCCTCATCGACGCAAGTTGCACAGCAACAATCACGATACCAACATGTCAGCTCTCCGCACCACTCCCATTCCAGCAGCGAACCCTCACAGGAGAAATGGATAAAACGGTTGCAAGAGCTCGAGCGCCGCCTCACGGCTGAGCGCGAGGCACGATTACTTGACCGTTCGGGCGCCCGTAAGCGGCTGGAAGAGCAGAATGCGCGCAATGAGGAGCTTGCAGCTGAGTTGGCTAGGCAAAAGATGAGGCAGCAGTATCAGGGAGCTATTACAAATACACCCCATAACCGAACTAGTAGCAGCAGCGGTTCGAGAGGAGGCGTAGCTGGGGATCGAAGCGAAACCGGCCCTACGGCTCCAGGCCGCCATCTCTCCACTCCAGAAGCCACCGTTGCTGATGAAGCGGAACGCTCGCGAGCTAGCAGGGCCGCTGCCAGTCCCTACCATCATCGTCGTCGTCGCGATAACGGTGATGATACAGATCACGAGGGCAAGGGGAGCGGCGACCCTGATGAGGGAGAGATGGTCATCATCGACCACCGCATTAGTGAGGGAAGTGGCGGATATCAGCGGCATGATAGTGAACCGTATAGTGGCAGCCACAAGGGCCATAAGCATTCAAGCGCTGCCAAGAGTACGGGTCGCGAGCAGTCGCATTTGTCGCACGGCCATCGACAGGAACATCGCCGGAGAGGAACGGGGACTGGGGCTGGCGTGGGAACCGACGAGTACGACGGAGGTGATGATTATGAGGACGATTATGACGATGAGGATGATGGAAATGGGACGGGAACGGATGATGGGGAGGGTGGACTAACGGTTGAGGTTGAGGTTTAGTTAAGCGGGATTTTCAAATGGAAAGCCGTGGTGGGTTCTTTTTTTACTCTGGGTTCTTCATGAATAGGGTGTAAGGTATCTAAGACGGCGCTGCTCTATTTTCATATATTATTATTTTATTTTATTTATATTTTGCATAATGTAACGTACTGTACAAGCATACTCCGTTAAATCACTCTTCATCCTTCGAGAGTGGGGACAATCGCAGCCATAATATCAGCAGCAGGTGACCTAATGGGCCCAATTTTTCCAAACAAAAAGACGAGAACACCCGGCAGGAATCAGTTCAAAAACTCATTGAATCCGGAAGAGGTTTTGAGGGAGTCATAAAAGTTGATGAGAGTGCAATTTTCACTTTTCATCAGCTTTAGCATCACAATTCAGCCATGATCTCAATTGAAGAGAGAAGAGAGCGGTTTCACCAGTTAGTTAACACTACCGCGAACCGTTCAATTTTCAGAGTACTCTCTCTCTCTCTGAAGAAATACAGCTTTCTCAGTGTTCCCGGTCATCATCCTGACAGTGCCAAACTAACTTATTCGAGTCTCGGCCCAGCAGAAAAGTGGCATTGATCACTACTGCGTATATATCTCACTGTTTTTTTTTTTTTTTTTTTTTTTTTTTTTTTTGCCATCCCGACCGACTTCTGCTACTACCGGGTACTCCCGTCAGAGCGACACATTCCCACCTGATATGCCCTGATATGGGTGCCGCCGCGCCACCCGCGCGCTGGTGGTGCTCTGTCATTTGAGGGTGAGGGAACCTCATTACGAGGCCGCACACAGATCCTTAGCCAGGATGAGTCTGCGATGGAATCAAAGCTGAGGAAAGTTGAATGGGTGACGCCATCCGGCACCGCAGGGCCAGCTTCAACACGAAACGGGGCCTCCTTGTTTTTTCTTTTTTTTCTTTTTTCTTTTCTTTTCTTTTCTTTTCTTTTTTCTTCTTTTCTTTTTTTTCTTTTTTTTTTTTTTTTTGGTTTTTGGTTTTTGGTGTAGAGGTAAGGGTTAAGCTTTGATCGATGATGGAAGATAGGGCAACCCAGGGAATAGCTGTTCATGGGCAAAGCGCAATGGCTGGTGATGGAAGGAGGAACGAGCTCGCTAAAGGCGCCACGGAATAAGATATCTCGGTCTGTGGCTCGTGCGCGGAGAACGAGGATAAGTCACCGTACTCCGTAGTTATTCGAGATAGTTAATTTCAGATAAGGAGTTTGATATTTTAAAAATAGATAAGAAATGGATATACCAACTTATGCTGTTGTATGGGTTAATCGTATGATAACATATTGATCAGCAAATTAATTAGGCCTTAATCGGGGATCAGTTAATGAGCTACAATACAAATAGCCAACAGTAGTTAACTAGTATATATATATTATACATCAATCAAACAATGGATTTACAGTCGATTTATACATGAGTTGTTACACAATCTGTTGATGATTGTGCTGCGTATGTTTCATTACAAATTTTCAAAATCACGTTATCACTTCGCTTACTAGCTGTAATTCAGGCGCATGCACGGGCCACAACATCTGAGCTTGGCGGAGACTGCGCTTTTAGCGAGCCCAAGGCCAGGCCAAGGTCAGGGTCGGGGCTGTTGATTCCTGATGATGGTTTTTCAAAAGTTTCGCCCTTATTTTTCGCCTCCTCCCGAGTTCCTTGTTGTTTTCCCACATGGGAGTCGTAAGAGCAGGAAACCCCCCGGGCAGGATATTCGGGACTCCCTCCCCCTCTGTCGGGTTAGAAGCGTCGGAAACCTTCGGCAGCAAGCCTCCAGGAAAGTAGTCTCCGCCGTGGGTTAAGGCTGAAGCCCCATTTCCGCTCCTGTGCTTGTTCAATCAAGGGAAAAGGAGACACCTTGTTACCATATTCTCGGGAATTTTATTTCTGGCTGCTATGTGTGCTCTGGCAGAGCTTACTTACTACCAGCTCGGGGTTGGATGAGGAGCAAATTCGTCCCTGTCTACTAGCAATGTAATTATTTCCTTTATACTAGTAATTGCCTGCCAAAGGAGAAGGGAGGAAAATGGGTTTGGTTATGTTACTGACATCCATGGGATCACACTCCCCCCCTCTCTTATTTTTTTTGGACTGCGTGGCGATCATACACAATGCGCTCCCTTAAAAGGAAGGTGTGTAAGTCCCTAATCTGTGGCAAGATTTTCATGCGATGCCCGGAGTGTGGGGCGGAGGACATTGTCGTCGTTATCGTTGTTGTTGTTGTTGTTGTTGTTGTTGTTGTTGTTGTTGTTGTTGTTGTTGTTGTTGTTGTTGTTGTTGTTGTTGTTGTTGTTGTTGTTGTTGTTGTTGTTGTTGTTGTTGTTATTGTGTTTGAAGCGGCATCAAGGGGGATGATATCATTGACAGCACCCCTCCCGCCCTCCGCGCTTAATTCTTCGGTCTCCATGAGTAGCATGTGCTTATACTTCCCAGTGATTGGGTCGATTTGCATTTTGTCTGGTTCCTACATGCGCGCAGTATTTTTAGTATTGGTTGAAGAGTAAGGATATAGGACGGAGATATTCCACCGCTGCTTGTTGCAGATAAGAGAAGCCCAGGTTCCTCTTGGCGTGGACCACGGTAGACGCCCACCTCAGGAGCACAAAGTACGGATCCTCTTTTGAAATTGCTCTCACCAACAAATCTTACACTCGACAAGTTCGCTCTGGCCGCGAAACATGCGCTATTCGATAAGCTGGTTCATTGTTAAAAGAGGCTGGGTTAAACTTCAGGGCACTTGAACACTGCGTCAAAACAAGCTCTCTCTCAAAAACCCGGGGAAGAAGGGCCCCCGCCCCGCTCCTCAGATAGGTGTTCATTTCTGAAACTAACTGGACATATCAGGGAAAAAAAAAAAAAAAAAAAAAAAAAAAAAAAAAAAAAAAAACTGCCATATTTTTTGAGTTCGAGACAAAAAAGGTATGGATAGCCATACAACTATCCGGTTTTTCAACCGACCAAAACCCAAAAGAAGCTTCTTCATCTCTTGCCACTCGCTCGACGTGTTTGCTGTGAACGGACAAAAATTGCGACATTAAAACCTTTTCTCCACATGCTCGTGGGTGAAGAGGTATTTCGGGGTTGGCCCCCGTCCCCCATACCCCATCGGGGATTTTCGTTTGAGATGATTAATTAGACCCATGGCCTTATGGCAAATCAGTAGGAAAATAAGCTATATGATGCCGCAATTACAATTACTTAGGACCCTGGTTAGTCACGGCACCTGCCATCGGGGACTACTAAGATATAGTATACGGAGTAGAGATGAATGACGTACAGACAACATTTTACATTATCTCTCTGAACATCCTTTAGTTATGGATAACATTTCTTTCCCCCCGTGCTAAATAGCTATTCATTCATTCAGTGGACCCGACAGCACTGAAAGAGAGAAAGATACCACGAACCAGTACTTAGATGAAAATCTAATTTTGTGTATATGCAGATCAAAGTATCTCTTCTTTGTTGAAACAATGACATTTTTTACCCTAGTTTACATCATGACAAAACCGAAAACCATCTAATCTATCAAAACCATCTGATGTCATAAAAAAAAGACCATTTTCCGATCAATTCCCCACACAAAACCGTAATTCAATTTTAATACACTTTCTTTCACACAATCATGTTATAGGGGGGGGGGGGAGGAAAAGAAAAATTTTTATTTATTTTTTTATTTTTTTTTTTTTTTCTTGGACATTGTCAGTTTCGGAACCTATCATCGGCGTAAAAATTTGGGAAGAAACCAGATCATTTCACATGTCAACGCCCCTGACATCTAACTTCTGCCCTGGCTATCGGCTATCACCAAGAATACCAGTTCTCTGACCAATTCCTCTTGTTGTGCAGATGTGGCTCTCAGTTACGTAGGAGGAGAGAACTGAGAAACACAGATTGGGGTAACTCGCAAGTCAAAATCCAATTATCATATATATATATATTTTTCCCCGGACATGCAAGTAGATAGATACTGCGTAGAGCCGGGAAGAGTTCACCTTCTCCATAACAAAGGAACCTCCCTTCTCCCTCCGCTATAGCCCGGTTGAAGCAACTAGATGGATACCTAAGATATCAATAGAAAAGATATGTTGGCATAGATGACTCCTCATAATCTTTCCTGCAAACCACCCTCCTCAACGGCAGAATTGTTTGGCAAAGATCAGCTCATCATGACATCCTTTGGCTCTCAAAATAGGAAAACTCCACTCTTCGATTAGATAATCGGGTGATTTGCCGTTAGTTACGCACACCAGGATAACGTCTATTATTCTAGTAACTCAATTCACTAGGCATTGGCAATTCCCAATCGCAATCCCAATCCCAATCCCGCTAACCATCTTGGATGCAATCCCGCTGTGTAGAAGTTAAATGTTTTGACAAAAGACAAAGAAAAAGAAAAAGCAACATCGTAAAAGAGAAGAAAGGAAAAGTTTAAGGGGCAAAAAAAAAAAAAAAAGAAAAAAGAAAAAAAACCAGACGGAAAGAGAAAGGAAAAGCGAGAGCGCAGGAATCACAGGAAAGGAAAAGAAAAGAAAGGAAAGGAAAGGTTACGCCATAGGGGTGGCTGGAGTGGTTAGCTGGGAAGTTTCAACCCATGGATTGCTTCTTGAGTTAATCATCTTCAGGCGCTCCTGAACTCATCATCATCATCATCATCATCATCATCATCATTATCATCATCATCATCATCATCATCATCATCATCATCATCATCATCATCATCATCATCATGAAAAATGTTCAGCTCCGGGGCTATCATCTCGGAGGAAACAACATCAGCCTTGCAACAGGACAAGAAGGAAGAAGCTTCAGCGAGCAGCCATTTCTAGCCCCCGTGGCAAATAGCTGGGCCTGGACTTCTTCCCGAGGAATATTGTTGTTTCCGTGGTGGAAAGGGTATGTATATACCATAGGAATGAATGATACGGCGCAATTACCTGACAGGAAGGTGGTGGCATAAAGACATCCGTGCGATTTGGTAGGAAAAGGAACTGTGTTTCGAACAGTCAGGGATTTGTCCACTGCTAAGACTTGTGATATCGATCCAACAAGAGATTGACTGCGGAAGAGTGTTGTCTGCCCTCGAACCAAGGCTCTGTATGGATCTCTTGCGTATCTCTCTGTTCCGTTGAATTGCTAGTACATTGTGACTTGTGCGTTATCGAAATAGAGTACATATACTGCAGATACTACCGGCCGCATAGAATCGAAATCCGTAGTCTATGGTCGAGAGGAGAAATCCTTCAGAAGCTGCACCGAATGCAAATGGAAGCTTTGTTGTACGGTTCAAGACCCCCCTAGGGACACGCTAGGAACACGCTATCCTCCCATATAGACTAGCGTCTGTCATGCGTTTTCCCTGGTCAAGCTACCAGCCACCCTCGTGACAAAGTCCGTATGACGTCCTGGCGGGGCGGGACTGGGTTGACTTCTCGACATCTGACGTCTGGCCCATTCTCGGGTGATCACCAAGCAAGCATGAACATTATTCTCCAAGAACACAAGCCGGAGCAGGTGAAAAAGGCCCCCAATTAAATTTGTAGCCAAGATGGCGGATTTATCTTGACACTTATTTTAGAGGAGGGATGGACGGGTAATTAATTAATTTTCAAGCACCGTTCCTCCCCCCCCCCCCATGCCCCTAATGTCCGATAAGCCCGTAAGTCCTATCTATCGGCCTGCCGGCGGAACTATCCCTCCAGACCTGAGTATCCAAGCTCGCCCACTCGGCCTTGTCAACAAATTTAATAATCGTGATCTTTAACAACTAGTAAACTAGTCAACAAAGCCAAAAATAACCCTTGAGCTATGTCGTCATGCAGCTCATTGCTGAGAAATCACTCTCTGTGGCCCCTTTCTGGGAA